AAACAACCAAAGTTTATTTTTTACCAATCTTTTTACAAATTATTTTAAGCATTTATTTAAATTTTTTCTAATTTGTCAATCATTTTAAATAATCTATAGATGTTTAATTAGCAAAACTTATAAATTGAGAAAATTAAAAATAAAAAAAATATAGAAATTTTATTGATTTACAAAAAAAATATTTCACAAAAAATTAACTTGATAAGTTAACTTTTTCCATATCGTCAATCTCTAATGTTTATTAAATTTTATTTATTAAAACTGTATCATTTAAACGTAAAAAATATATTTTTTGTAAGTTTATATGATCTACGTGGAATTTATCAATGCATGAAATTTATTTAAAAATGTTTTTATATTCATTTAAAAGAATGTGAAAAGCCTTTGTTTTGTTATCAACATCTTGTTGCACAAAAGGTAAGTCTTATTTCAAAAGGTACTATATCGAGAGAGCTGTATTTTTTTTATATACACGAAAATATGTATTTAATTAAATCAATTGTTAAAAATGTTTTTTTATAAACTAGCATTTTAGTTTTAAGTAAAAAACTTAGTAAATAATTAAATTGTAAATTTTATATACATATATTATTGTGTGTAATTATAAACTTCTCTTCTCGTTAAAGAGATATTTTAAAAAAAAATTTTATTTTTTTATTCGTAAAAGTTACAAATAATTTTATAAAAATTAATTTGTTAATTTCTCTTTTTTGTAAAATTTTTTAAATTTCAAGAGCCTTTTTTTAAAAAAAATCAAATCTTGTATTTATACAAATTAATAGGCATTTTTTTTATAAAAATCACAATTGACGAAACAAAACTATTCATTCCCAATCATCTATAATTTTTTACAAATTGATTTAAAAATTAGAAGTTTTTGAGAAACATTCGCATAATCGCTAAATTTAAAGCAAGAATTATCTTGTTTTTTGAATCATTCAATAAATTTGATATTTTAAGTGTTTTTATAAATTTTGATATTTGATCATTTATAAAAGTTTTTCAAACCTTTGAAAATTGGATTTAAACTGTTTGTATTTATAAAAACGTTTACGCTTGTCTGCTTTTAAATAATCAACTAAAAATATACTATTAATTTTGCTTTCATTTTTGAATTCAGAGGCATTTTCATTGTTGAGTAATTGAATATTAGATCCTGTGTTAATTTTTTATTTTTTCTCTCTATCTTTTGCGGTGTTTTTATTTTTGCAAACATTATAAAAAGATGTATCAGTCTCAAAATAATTAGTTGTAGAGGAATTGTCAACATTTATTGTGTATTTTATAGAGCATCATTTGATTCATCTATACAACTAGTTCCAAAATTATGCTTTTGGTTATCTAATAAAATAAAAACAACGTCATTTGTCTGCAAAGAACTTTTATTTTTCAAGTAAATGTCTTGTTCCTGTAATAAATCGTTTTGAATCGTATGTAATGATAAAT